TGGCTAGAAATGTCATAAGACAGAGCAGATGAAGACTGGGTCTTACTTCACACCAAACTGATCAGAAAGGTAGCAGTGAGGCTCCATACCTTCTAGGGAAGGTGAGCCGGTATTCCTCTAGGATAGACTGATTAGGATGTCAATCTATATCTGAGTCTCACATTGACTAACAAATTATTGTGCCTTTTTATTCATTCAACAAATATTCATAGAATGTCTTCCACATGTGCCTTGGGCATTATGTATATCACAGTGAACAAAACAGATATGATCTTTGGAGTGGAGACTCATGAACACATATTTAATTACAGACTGTGGTAGTTGTTACAGAGGAAGACTGCCATGACAGCCATTTAAATCAAGGCTTGAAATAATTTAAGTAGGAATTAGTCTGTTGGAAATTTCTTGAACAAGTCCACTGTTTCTTATGCTTTTGAATTTCAGCTGCAGTTTACTACTTTTTGTCTGTGGCGGACACCTTTTGGATCTGTGCTAAGAACACAACTGACCTTTTGGAGATTTGCAGCTTGTGAGGATGAACCTCTGGCAGCTGGGTTTGTATCATGAGAGTCTTGAGCACCATCTGCTCCCCTGGGCAAACATGACACAAACTGGACCATTCGGTTTCTTTCTCCTGGGAACTGGGGTTAACAGGTAGTAATTAGTCTCCACTGGTTCTGGAAGTGGGGATAAGCAAGCTCAAACAATGTTTCAGAGAGGCAGTCAGTCAGAGAAGAATGAACCAGTTTTGTGGAGAGGAGCAGAGATGGAAGAGCATGTGACTATAGAGAGAGGAAAAGAGATTTCAGAGTAGCTACTGACTGCCTGTTGACAGGTCAGGTTCTTGTGTTGGTCCTTCGTGAGATCCTGTTGCTCTGAGCGTTTGGGTTCTGTAAGATTCTCTATATACATATGTGGGCATGTGCATTTCTTTTTTTTCCTTTTTGCATGAGGAAGTTTACGTGTGATTCTATTACTTGCAGACAAAAGACCTTTGGTTGAGACTGGATGTCTTTTGGTGGTGCTGGGATTGAACCCAGGGGCACTGCACTGAGCTGTACCCAAACCCTTCTTAGATTTTTTGAGACAAGAGTCTTGCTTAGTTGCTCAGGTGGGGCTGGAATGTATGACACTCCTGCCTCAGCCTCTCAGAGGGCTGGGATCACAGGCATCTCGTACCATGGCTGGGTCCTTCATCTGTTTGTTTGATACACACACAGGGATTTATTAATATTTAAAATATATACCTACATGTACATAGAGACATATTCACATTTCATTGAGAGAAGCCAAACTTTTTTAGATCTTTTATAAGGCAGAAAAATATATGGAAGTTTCCTAATGAAAGCCAGTAGTACTAATGATTATTAATAAGTTATCATTAGTGTAGTTTTGCATTTATAGACAAAATTTAAATCCTGAGGGGCAGGGGATTTAGCTCAGTGGCACCGCACCTGCCTTGCAAGTGCAAGGTCTTGAGTTCGATCTCTGGTACCAAAAAAAAAGAAATTAAATCCTGAGGAAAAGTCCAATCTAATTATTAAGCTGTTTTGAGTCTATTTGTTACATGAATCTCGTAAAACATTCAAATTGTTAATATTAACTTCACCTTTATGAACTCTTACGATTCAAATTCCATCTGAATAGGACAGCTATCAAGGTTTCTCAGTTCTTAGGTAATCCCTGAATTTCATATTTTAAAATTACATTATCTATTGAATTTAAAATATTTTATTTATATAAAAGTGGTATAGGGGAAATAAATGTAACTCCTAACCTACTAGATGTCAGATATGACCAGTTCATGTTCCCCTGAAGTCGAAGAATGAATTCTAAGGAACAACAGAGGTTAAGAGTAGGAAAATTTATTGCGGAATAGGAATGGGGAATAGGAATAGGGAATAAGAATGGGAATAGGGCTAGCTCCTGAGAGACAGGAGGGGTCCCAAATGGGTTGCCGTCCTTCATCTCTCTTGCCCAGCATGCTCCTACCGCTCCTTCAGGAGCATGTTTTTTTGTTTTTGTTTTTGGTACTGGGGATTGGAACTCTCCGGACCTTGCACTTTTGAGGCAGACGGTAGAACCACTGAGCTAAATCCCCGGCCCCATGGAGCATCTTACCTCTTCAATGCCTTCCAAACTCCTCCACAGCAGAGTTGGTCCCTCCTTCCTTTATCCATATACTCTCCTTTATAGGACCAACCAGGAAACTTACATGTTTGTTTCTTGTCATAAAACCTAGCTCCAAAAGGACAGAGATATAACAAACTCAATCCATGGCTGCTGAATAGAACTAATCTTATAAAATCTAGTATTAGGGCCGGGGATTTAGCTCAGTGGTTTTGCCGCCTGCTGTGCAAGTGCAAGGACCCGAGTTTGATCCCCAGTACCAAAAAAAAAAAAAAATCTAGTATTATAAGTGCACACCTGTAATCCCAGCACTCTGGGAGGCTGAGTCAGGAGGATTGGAAGTTTGAGCCCAGCCTGGGCAATTTAATAAGAATCGTTCTCAAAAAAAAAAAAAAAAGGCTGAGCAGTAGCTCAGTGCAAAGGTCCAGGGTTCATTCCCCAGTACTGAAAAATAGACAGAGATAAGAGATAGACATAAAGAGATAAAGGGGGGGGGGAAGGGAGAGGGTGACAGACTGGGAGGGAGGGAGGAAGGGCCCTTGGGGCAAAGGGGAATAGGAGTGACAAAGAAATGGAGATATAAAAAAGCAAGAATTTGAGAAATGGCAAATAGTGGCTGATTTGCAGCCTGAATGGAGGACAGCAGTAAATGAAGCTGAGAGGAAGACTGAAGCCAAATTACCTAACTTCTTATATGTAGAGTTTGGACTTACTAGTGAATGAATGTGATTTTATTAATCCTTGTAGTCTTCAGAGGACTAGGAAATGCCTTGTATATCATGGGTACTCAATAAATGCTTGTTGAATTAAGTAACTGGCAAACAGACAGGCAAGCAGTTGTAAGATATCACTTTTATTTATTTATTTTAGGTACTGGGGATCGAACTCCGGTCCTTGAGCTTGCGCAGCAGGCAGAAGATATCAGTTTTATATTAAATTTTTCTTTGCGTTTCAGAGATTTTTCCATAAATAAAAGGAAACCATTTAGATGCGACTTAATCTCACTTTGTTAAATTCAGAGACTGTAAATTTCTTACGTAGGTGCACATTTAACAATCAGTTTAAGATTTAAGGTCAATATGAATCCTATGAGAGTGAAGTATGGCTTCATTCATCCTATGCCCTTTTGTTAGAAATATTTATTGAAGACTTGTGAATGTTCATAAGACTGAAACTGAATATTAGACATAATAAACCAGCACTCACGTTTCGGGGTGCTCTGGCTTTAAGTAGCTTGGTTTTGGCAAACAATTTTTTCACTATCAACAGCATCTTTAGAAAGATACTAAGCTGAATGTGGCTCTTGCTGTAGTTTAGAGGCCAAAGACATGTTAATGAATCCACAGCGAATGCAAAATTGAAATGTGATCTGATATAAAGAAAAGTCAACATTTGGTAATAAAATTAATATAGGCACTGTCTGAAGCATTGGATTATCTCACGAGGACCTCAGCAGTAGGTCACTTCTCCCAAATCTGGTGAAAGTTTCCTCCGTGTTGAAATTAGTTATCAACAACAGGCAGGGGAGCAGAGTTCAGGATCAGGACAAGGAACCTTAAACTAGAACTCTTTTCAGTGGTTCAAATTTCTTTGGTCACTTATAAATTCCTGTCACTGGTTCAGCTAAATGTACCCTTCCCCCCCATAAAACCAAATCTCCCCACTATGTCCAAGTCAAGGCAGTGAGTGGACTTGTGTCTTTCAGGTAGGGATACGAGTGGAGGAGAGAAGAACTCGACCTCCCAAACTGCTGGCGGGGTGGAAGTGGGGGTGGGAGAATTACAATTTCCAGAAATTCATTACAGCCAAGAGATCAGTTTTCCGGGTGGAACTGTAAGTAAGAGTGGGTTGGGTGTGGGGATTTGGGATGCGAGAGATTCCCAGGGGGTTGGGATTTGGGGGAGAAATGCTCCCTAGCATCGTCCAGGAGCGAAGAGAGTCGCCTCGGACACCCAGCCAGCAGAGGAAGACGCTGACGAGCCCGGGCAGCTCGAGACTGGCTTCAGGGTTTGGCAACGCTCCCTCACGGCCCCTCCCTGAACCCGGTCGTGGGGTCTCCGGGCGCATGCGCCTCCGCTCTGGGACTGGCCCAATTTACCCTAAACAACTAATCTGCTCCTCCCACGCCTGTTTGGGGCGTACCATTCGCTTTGCGGGGAGGGGGGACGTGCCTCAGAGTACTCAGAAACCAGCTCCTCTTCCTTTGACAGGGGAAGGTAAGTTTGCCTCAGATTTTGAAAGTTCCTAGATCACGAAGGCCTCGTAAGCCCGTCGCTCGACGCTCTCGGCGTTACTCACGGCCCCGGACTCAGAGGCGCGGAACAAAGTGGCACGCCCGGATCCCAGCTGATCAGCTGCTGGGCTTTGGCGGCGGCTTCCCCGGGCGAGACCATCGAGACTCCTCGGGAGGGGTGCGCGCGGAGGGGAGGGGGCGGAGCGGCCATTGTCCGGTCAGCGCAGCCTCCGGGGGAGGGGAGCGTGTTACGGAGGGAGCGGGGCCCCGGGCGTCACAGCGGCCTCGGCGACTCCAGAGCTGGCGGGGGTCTCAGGTCTGTCCCCGCGCCGCCGCACAGGACCTCGCTCTGGCCGGGGAGAGGCGACAAGAGCTGCCGAGGCCGCCGGGCGGCCCCCCTGCGCCGCGGCCTTCGTCCGCCCGCACGCCCCTCCTTCTCAGCTCCCCATCCTCCCTCTCCGCGCCCCGGACCCCCCCGTCTCCGCAGGCCGAGTGGTGCAACCCGCCTCCAGCTGACCGGCCTGGAATCCCGGCTCGGAGCCCCGGACTCGCGCCCGCCCGCGCGCCCGCTCCCTCCCCCTCCCCCGGCTGAGCCCCAGGTCGCCGCTGCCGCCGCCGCCTCCTCGGAGCGGGGCCCAGGCCCAGCCACCGCCACCGCTGCCGCCGTCGAGCTCCGCCGCCGCCACCGCCACCGCCGCCGAGCACCATGGGAGACGCCGGGAGCGAGCGCAGCAAAGCGCCCAGCCTGCCGCCGCGCTGTCCCTGCGGCTTTTGGGGGTGAGTGTCCGGCCGGATGGGGGTGGGGGTGGGGGCGGGAGCTGGGGCGCGGGGCGCGGGCGCCCGGCAGCCCGCCAGGCCTCGGACCCCGAAGGCCGCAACCTGGAGCTGGGCCGGGGCCAGGCTGGGGAGGGCAGCGGGGCTGGGGCCGGGGTGGGCAGAGAGGGCCCTGCCCGGGGCGCTACCACCCTGTGTGACCAGCTGGCCTGAGATTGAGGGCGACGGCCACGGGTGGGGGGCAGGGCAGCGGGGGAGGGATGAAGGGGCGGCGTTGGCACCTCCGGGTTAGAGCAGGGCTCCTCCTTTCTCTTGGCCTGTGGGGGCCAGCCCCCCTCCGCCTTTGGTATGAGTTAGTGTCCAGGCACCAGGAGGGTATTTCCTCTGACTTTTTCACCTCTCCTCCTCCTCCTCGTCCTCCTCGTCGTCGTCGTCGTCCTCCTCCTCCTCCTGCCTGTTCCCCAGAGACTTGCATCATCACTTCCTAAATTATATCCCAGTGCCCCATTTGCTTTTAGGAAGCTGTTCACACGTCACCGCTTTATAAAAACCTGAATCCAGAACCGTAAAGTTAAAGGCTATTTTGAGGTTTCACCTTTATTTGAAACGCGATCTCTGGAGATCTGTGAAATTTCCTTCTCAAAAATAAAACAAAAGAAACCAAAAACAAACAACCTTAAGTCAGCTTGACTTAGGGAGTGTAAGAGCCAATTTCCTCAATTGGTTCTCAGATTTCTCTTTCCCAGTTTACAAAAAATGATAAAAATGTCCACAGCACATAGTGTGTGTCATTACTTGTCTGTCCTGTATTAGGGCCACAAAATGTGAGAGGAGTCCCCCCACCCTATATTACATTGTTAATTGCCCTTGGAACACAGTAGATTTAACGAATTGCCAACTAACAGGTGCCTTCATCAGACCCCATGACTAGTTCTGTGGTGAGCAAACTGGAGGCCTTGACAAAGGCCAACTTTTGGATTGAGTCCGCTCTTTTTTTTTTTTTTAACAGTGAATATATTTGGAGGTAGTAGAGGCAGGAAGGAAAGGATAGTTTTTGGTGAGACCGTCTTGGGGAAAAGTATTAGGTATTTTCTTTTTGCTATTTTCCATGCAAGAATGGGTAGCACAGAAATTAACTATGATTTTAGGAGCGCAGAGAAACATAAAGTGCTTCTTTATGTAGATTTCTGTAGAATTTAATTCCAAAGGTATGGTGAAGTGGATTTTCATTTGCTTTTTCAGAAACTTCCTAGTGAAAGGATATTAGTCAAAAATAAGTTAATGGTATTACCACAAATCCTGAAGATGTGAAAATATTTTAGGTTCAAGTCTTCCTTCATTTTGACTTAAAAATAAATTGGGTTGTCTGTGAAGTGCTTTTATAATAGGCAGTCTAATTCCCCCAAGAATCTTATGAAGTAAGAACCAAAATCTCTTTATTACTAGATGGGGAAACTGAGGCTTAAAGAGGAAGGGTAATTTGCCCCTTCACACAAGGAGTTAGGGTGGAGCTGGTGAGTTCTTCAGAGTGCTTAGAACCATCATTCATTTATGACATCAGTCTGGTGCCTGGAAAATACCTGGTGTCACAAGCCTCAGATTGTACCTCATTGTAAGATAGGCGACCTAAAGTGTCAGGTCTGTTTCCTGGCAACATGCTTATGTCTGTGGGATTATAATGAACGGAATCCTTATCAAAAGACTTACATTGGGGCTTATAAACTAAGGAAATGGAACAGCCTTTTGCCTTTAGCCAGCAGGTTCTGAGTAAGGGGCCAAGAGTTTGGTGGTAGCAGGTATCAGAAGTTCCAGTGATGTTTTACTTGACCTGTAAGCAATGAAGGGTTCTTTTTGAAACTTTTTATGAACTTCATCTTGCCTAACAGGAATAATAAGACAAAGCTAATATTTAAAGGTGAAAAGTGTTCTTTTTAGTGTGCATGTTTTAACTTTTCCTAAGGGTGTTTGTAAACACCTGTATAGTTTGTATTTTATAACAAGGAATAACAAAATTATTGCCCTCTTTTCATCATGTCATATCTGATTTTTGGTTTTTTTTTTTTTTTTTTTTGTACCGGGGATTGAACTCAGGACCTTGCGCTTTCGAGGCAGGTGCCGGAACCACTGAGCTACATCCCCGGCCCTCATATCTGATTTTGAACATTGTCCTGTATTGCATGGGCCACATGCGTATCATGTTTATTAAGCAAACTTACACTCGATTCAACAGATATTTTGGTGCCTCTGATATAATGGGACACAGGGATACAATTGCCATGCTCTGGGGCTGGAGGCATAGAGAAGTGAACAGGCAGGTGCAGTCAGTTGTTGAGGCCACCTATACAAGCTGGGTAGTGGTAGAGGATGGTAGCCTGGAAGAAGTGACATTTCCGTCTAGAGCCTAGGCAGTGATGGTGAACTTTTTAGAGCTTTATATGATAACAGCCTGTTGCAGCATGCATTCCATAAGTTCGCTACCACTGGCCTAGACCTGTAGGAAGGGTGAAAAGAGAATGGAAATAGAAGAGTAATTCAGGTGGAAAGGAATAGCATGCATGAAGGCTAGGGTGTGAGCGGGAACACCATACCTATGAGGAACAGAGTGGATCAGGTGACTGTGAAGGGGATCAGTTGTAGATGAGGCTTAGCAAGTGAGAGAGGAATTGATTCCCATGGTTATTCTGAGGACTTTGGCCTTGTATCCTGAGTGCTTTGGGGAGCTAATAAAGAACTTTTGAGCAAGCAGGGACTGCCATGATTGCCTTTGATATGAAAGGTTATTGGATGATCTTGAGAGTGGCTGAGTGTGCGTGTGTGTGATTGTGAGTCTGTGAAAGTGGTGTATATATGTTCACAGGGTGTCACCAGGTCTGGCGATAGAGAATATCTGTGAGGAGGAGCAACCCATTTTCCAACCAGGGTGGTAGCATGAGTGGTGTAATGGTGGGGAAGAATAGAGAGGAGTAGAGAGAGTGAAAGTCATTCAGGAGGTACTTTTTCCCTTCATGAAAATGAAGGTCAGTATGTGATCTAAACATTTTGCGCAGCATAGCACTCTGGAAGCTGTAGTTCTTTAAAGTCAGCCAGCCAGGGCCCACACCCAGGCCTTTGCAGAGGAGCCTTTCAACAGAATATTCTGGCCCCAGCAGAGTAAAGGCGATTCCTTTAGGATTTCTGCTCTCTCTCATGACTCAGGCTGTAGAATTTGCTGCTCAACATGTCCAGTCAGGACACCAGTCAGTGGTGCTTGGTAAAGAGGAGAGATTTAAGGTCTTTTTGTAGAAACAGTAGGAAGGAGAATGCCAAAAGGAAATGTACAATTCAAATGTGTTACTGTGTACAGCCCTTTAGTTTCCAGTTCTCTCTCTCTTTATATTGTATAACTGCATATGGGTTGTTGTTGTTATTATTATTATTATTTATTTTGGTATGGGGATCAAACTAAGGACCTTGTGCTTGGGAGGCAGGCGGCAGAACCACTGAGCTAAATCCTTGGCTCAGTGGGAAATTATTTTATAGAGAGACTATCTTCCCATTGGGAAAATCTACCTTAGAAATTGTTGAAAATTACCCTGTTTATAAAAGTTGGAAGTTCTTGGTATAGTGTATGTTTTTTAGGATTAAAACAGTTTCTTCCTTGTAACATAGACTTAAAATTTTTAGTGAAGCATGAGCATTTTCTTGTCTCATTTTAGGAATTCAGTAATCAGGCAAAAAATATACTTACTGTTAATTGTTAATTCTCACGTTTGAGATGAAATAGTACAGTTTCTTTTTTGGGAGAGATTGAACCTAGGAACAATCTGCTATTGGGTTGTACCTCTCACCCTTTTTATTTTTTGAGACAGGGTCTCACTAAATTGTCCAGACTGGCCTTGAACGTAGGATCTTCCTGCCTCAGCCTCCTGAGTGGAATTACAAGGTTGCACACCACATCTGGCAGTATGTTTTCATTAGTTAATGTCTACATATACTTGAAAACACTTAAAAGTATACAGATAGAGGTAGTATTAGTTTAATGTGCATTTAAAATTGTTTAGACCTTTTTTTGATTTTTTTTTTTTTTTTTGGTACCAGGGATCGAACTCAGGTCCTTGCGGTTGCGCAGCAGGTGGCGAAACCACTGGGCTAAATCTCCGGCCTGTTTAGACCTTTTTTCACAATGCTCGAATGGAACCCATGACCCTGTACTTGTTAGGCAAGTACCCTACCACTGAGCTCTAGCTCCAACTCTGAAATTGTTTAGGCACTTAAAGTGCATAGAGGTACATAGAGTCTTCATTAATATTTCCAAAAAATATTGCTTAAAGGACAGACCTAGAATATTACAAGAGTTAAGAGAATAAGAATATATTGTGGGGCCGGGGATTTAACTCAGTGGCGTCGCTCCCTGCCTCGCAACCGCAAGGTCCTGAGTTCGATCCCTGGTACCACACACAAAAAAGAATATATTAGTATAGGATAATAGAAAGGGTGATTAGTGAGAATGGAAGTTGCAAGTATTTTTTCCCCCTAATTTTACTGATTAGTATAAAAACCCAATTACTGCTATGGATATTTTGTTTTCACAATTGGGGATAGTATCTATCATGATAAAATAGTAGGGATCCTTCAAAAGTACTGTTTTGTAAATAAGCTTACAGCATAATGGACATAATTATTTAGTCTGATATTTGGGGAATAACAGGGTATTTAAATATGAGATTTACTAGGTAAACTACAGTTTTAAAGATACTTAGTTTTCTTTTTTTTTGGTACTGGGGATCGAACTTGGGTCCTTGCGCTTGTGAGGCAGGCGGCAGAACCACTGAGCTAAATCCCCAGCCCTTTTTTTTACTTAGTTTTTTTTTTTTTTGTACAGTTTTAAAGATAAAGGTCTTCTGTTTCAACAAATCATAAAACAATACATAGGTATATTTTCTTTAGCAAAGTAGATGTTAAGGCCATAGGTGGGGCCTTTTGGAGGTGGCTGGATCTTGGGTGTGTGATGCTGGGATTGATTG